AAATTTTCCTTAATATACCTTTCCTTCCATCTTTGATGGTACGGGCAAGGTAAAAAAACAAACATTTTGGATCTCATTATGGAGAGCAAGAGAATGTTTTTTGACCCTTCAATGCAAGTACTCCAATGCAGTACTCATGTATCTTTTCGTTGTGGTATTGAATATTAAATAATTGATAAAACCATGTAAAAATTACCAAATCTTACCAAAATATTGTTTTAGACACAATTACTGTAATTGTGTCTAACACAATATGCATGGGCAAAGTGCCCTTTCACAAGACAAGTTGTGTAAACTAAGGATCAAGGTAGTCACCATTTTGTTGAAATTGACCAAGTTGTGGCAAATACTATGACACTATGATGAGAAATAACACATATAATCATCAGAGGCTTTCAATGAATGGCTTAGCCCCTCAAGTTGGCAAGGTATTTGACATTTCGGCCAGTAGTGAATGAAACAAATATAATAGTGAAGTTAAAATTACTTACGGTGGACTCACAGGTGGTTGGAATTTCAATTCCCCCCTAAAACGTGGAGGTTTCTTTCTCCCTGAAAAATAGAACAATGAAAAAAAACGTTGGCCATAACTTCAGAAATGAAAGGTCTTCAAATAAAGCATCTTAATACAGGTACCAAATGAAGTTGTCAACTCAAGGTACAACTATGAGAGCTAATTCGCTAGAGTTAATGCTATCATATAAACGTACCGTGATACTGGAATTACTTGTTTTGGAACAGTATTTATTAGTTGAGTAATAAAAAACTTTTATAACATATCGGTTGGTTAGGATTCCTTCTACACCACATTAATCACATGTCATTGCATACATGTACATGTATATGACAGTTAGAAGGCCAGGCCCCCAAAAGACTTGTTCCAGGGAGGTGAGAATGATTCTAGCACTATGAATGGAATACACTAACTAGATCTTATAAAAAAATTTGGAAATTAAAATAAAAATAGAATGATATTTTTTCCAATTGAAAGGTTCTATCAAATAAATGTGGAAGAGAAACTAAAAAAAGAAAGCGTACCCAAATGTGTTACCATGGCAACAATGACAATTTCTCCATAGTATATAACCCTGCTTTTATGATCATTTTGTATTTGAAAATAAGTAAAATATTAAACACAATTGATGTTCAAAATATAAAAACTAGTAAGATTATCCCGAGTTCTCTCATCCGAGTTTTGAAAAAATCAATCACAAAGATTAATTTTAAGGTAAAAGCCTAGTCATAATTTTTGACAAAATTGGTCATAAATCGCATGAACAGGTTCATTAGTTTATTATGTACAATCATGAAGCTAATGCCTCATGAAATAATGAAATAGCATTATTTTGTGTGTTACAGTTAAGCTTTTCGAGAAACGTGTTCTAATATTTCTTGAAAATTGCTAAAATTGCTATAGAACAAAAAACCCCATCATTAACAATATATGATTTTTTCAGCCTATGTCACCAGGTTAGATTTTGAGATATTGCATAATTACTCTGCCATAGGAACCTGTGGTAAAAGTGTTACAAGTGTCAAAATGGGGACTTTCCACTAAAATAGAACCATCAATTTCTCGAAAAAAAGGCTGGTGACCCCCAACTTTTTTTAGGTCAATATCCTTATATTGTCTTGGAGTACATTTTATTGCAAAATGAATAAATTCTGGGTTTTTTAATTTATGAGTAGGCTTCTACCTTAATAGCAAAGTGTCAGGAAATTCCCGTTACAAGTGTGCTAGGTACGACCATATTTATTAACAAAAAATTGCTAGCAGTTTATAAATTTGCATGTTTATAAAAATATAGATTTACCACATGAAATAATATTTACATCAAACACTTCACGTATTATCTCAAATTGAATTTGAGGAGTATACATCACATAGACTGTTTGATGGTTTCACTTTCACTTTGTCTGCATGAGTATGTAATAAAATTGAATTCAGACAAGTATAGAAATATCTATCTTTCACACAACTTCTTGACAGATAGTGAAATCCTGAAAGAGTTTTTAGTAGCTTGATGGAATTGTTATAGTTTGAGCAAGCAGGTAGGGTCAGCCATCATGAACTGACTTTGAAACTGATTAGAAGAAGCCATTTGAAGAAAAATTATCTCATTTACAAAATTTAATGGGCAAATCCACTTTCTATTTACCCAGAAAATGTCTACATACAATGTACCAACACCCACATCAATTAGCTCAACAGTTAGGGAGGAGATGTCATCTAAAGAACGCTGACCGTTTATCAAAAATCCACCTACATACTAGACACTCCCCTGTATGTGAAAATATTATCACGATCAGTTTCTAAATTCACTGTTCAATCATACAGTGCAATTCTTAACGAATGATAATGGATAGCTCCAATTATGAATTTTCATTTGCATTTCACGCATCATGTGACATATAGTAACTGCAAATGCTTTAAATTCACAAGATAAATTTTCATAAATTTAGTAAGCCAGAAACAATTGGACAATACTGTAGCAGTGAAGTTCATAAATGAGTCATAATGATTTTCATGGAATTTTGTCTTCACAAACACAAATTATGAAACTGAGAATAGTTCTAGTGGTGAAAACTTAACTGTTTACAGTAAATAGTTATTGCTAAATAAAAACCACTGCAACAAACATGAGAAATTAATGACATTTAGTACAAGGTTCTGATCATCTGACTAACAGTAGATTTGCAATGATCTTTATAATTGATCAATACATATGTTTGCATTAAAATAGAATAAAAAACGTTGATATGTACAAGTATATCCGGATTCCATGTGATGAGTACCAAAATATTTGATCTGGCGAAATGAGCTTATGCATTCATTGTGTTGTTTTTAAGTCCCCAACCCAAAGTGTTGCATTTTGTCCACCACAGTCGCCCGCCAAATCTAATACTTTTCAATAATAATATATATTGCATCATGCAGCCCATCAATACGCTGTTTTTCTGTGGACAACTGAGCCACACTAAAGGCTATGTTGAATTTGGTACATGTAATCATATTAAAATAAATGGTGGGTTATGTAAATGCAAAGAGGTCTTGAACTTGAACTCAAGTCACATAAATTTTAAACAAACATTACTACTAAAAAATACTACAATTGCTTCAGATAACAGTATCCATGGATGCGCCTTAGCTCTCTAATCTTCAAAGCACATATTAAATTTAATCTAGAGTGCCGATTTGACATATTTCAACTGATATTTTCAGTATGCAGGAACATTCTCAATACTAAGTTTATAACATCCACAAAAAAGACACAAAAATACAGGAACATGAACAAATGTTTGTTTTTTTTTTGGTTTTTTAAATTTAGTGAAACCACATCAACTAGTTTAAAAAGATTGTACTCGCAAGTAGATTAGGATAATATATCACAAAAGAGTAAGCTGACCTGTGAACTACTTGGTAAAATACTGTAATTCACCCACCCCCACCCCGCCTAAGTAACAAATGATAAAGCTAGATGTATACTGGTATCATTGATGTAATCACGGTTACTAAAAAACCGTGATGTAATATTTCGTCATATTTAGAAACGCTACGTGTGGCTAAAGTTATTATTGAAAAAAAATGGCAAAAAGAGAACACGTACAATATGCCATAAGAAACTGTACAACACCCAGCAGATTTGAGGTTTGGAAATTAAATGCGACACGCCCATATTGACCCCACTTCCATCCTCCGAGTTCCTCTAAGACAAATAACGGTCTGACCTACCTGTCCGGGAAGCTGACATATTGTCTTCGGTGAATTTCTATCGTATCCAAGGAATTCTGCTGACCGAAGCACAAAACCTGCTAGCATCAGCAGGCAGGGACCCCAACACACGTAGCGATGGGGAAAATACCTGCCTACCACCGATGGGGATGTCAATCGGGATGGGCAAACAAACACCAAATTCTCACAGCTAACAGCTGATTACGCCGGTGTCGCGTCGGTGATCAAGAAACAGGAACTCGAGCCACTAAATCGATCGCTGCACAAATCTACCAAGTCATTAAACTAAATTCCTCGGTCACAACCGAATCACGGACAAGCTATTCAGTATTCGAATCGTGCAAAATCCACGTGTTAAACAATAGTATTTCCAGGGAGCAAGCGTAACTACGGATGTTTCTTCCTTTAGTTCCGGAATGAGTCAGCTAAGGGTTGTCCCCACCGGATGTGACGTTAAGATTGAAACTTTAACTACAGACTCGCAGTATTCTGTTGCGATTTTCGACTAAACTACGCAGAGTATACAATTTTGTGATCAGGTTTTTAAGATTCACGACCGGTGTACGGAGTGGTCATTCATAATACGGTGACGTTGATGACTCATACTAAGGTATTTGATAGGCATTAATCATCATCACAGCTTTCGGCAATGTTCGGCTCCCGAACGTACTTAGTTCGGAGTGAGTCTGTCGTTGGTGGCGTGGTGGTGGCACATTGACAAGTTAAAAGAAGAAACACTTTCCGCCAATGATGGCGCTTAGATTCCGTAACTTTTATGTTAACAGTATAATTTCCCCCCCCCCCCCCCACTCAGGATCCATAGGGGGCCGCATGCGCGTTCCCATTTTCTCGGGAAAGGGGGTACTTTTTGACGATCTGTCTCGGGAACATTTTCCCGAGAAAATCTTAGAAAAGGGGGTATTTTTTGCTTGTTTTCCAGAGACTCTCAAAATAGGGGGTGTATTTCAAAACACTTCCCGAGATATACAAAAAAGGGGGGTTTAAAAGGAGTTCTAGACTGAAAAGTTCTCTAGATAGGGGGTGAAATTCATCGGAAAAGCCTGTGAAAGGGGGGGTTAAATTTTCTTCTTTTCCCTAGATAGGGGGGGGGTCAAAAAAATGAGGGAACAAGCATAGGCCCCCCTAAATATAGGGAGTGGGGGGGGCGGGATAATTTTAATCAGGTGAAAAGATGGAAGTCGTCTCAGTTGATGTATTTTCACAAGGAAATAACTGATTATTTTTCTCCATAGTGGCATGATTTTATACCAGACAGTGAGAGCATTTTAATATGCTTGAAAAACAGATAGCCAATTTCCATTCTGTTTTATCTATTTAAATGAACCACACTGAAAAACAAGTTTTGTTGTTAAATTCAGTATTCATTTTCACCATCACATATTAAAGAGGATATTTGAAAAATAAAAACAACAAGAAAATAGCAGGAGATGTACAAGGTATTGTAAATCACATTAGTTTTGCAACAGACTTCACTACCCCCAGACCATTTGTTTAGGTGTGTGAGTGATAATGAAAACACTAAGACGAATAGGCTGTTGTATCAAAGTGATATTCATGGAACTTCGTTGTCACCCATCAACATGCTCAAATTACGAATGCCAAAAAAAGAAAAAAATATAGATGGGATCGATTCTACAGTGTACAATAATAATGGGTGCCGATGTGAACATCTTCCATCAGTGCATTTTTTGCAGTATTTTCTAACCTTAATAATAACACACAACTTTCTGTAGTTGCTGCATGATTTATATGCATGCAACAGTGTTGATATCACAGCCTGGGAACTGTAAAATACATTTTTTTGCTGTAATGAGTGTTTTGCATTGAATTTCTTTGCACTGATTTTTTACATGTTGAATGTAAAATATAGGGGAAAAAATATTGCCAGATTTTACTTTTACTGAATTATTCCTTCAGTGAAAATAAAGCATCTTACAGTAAGTAACAATCAATCCTCTATTTTGTGTAGCATACCCTCCCTAAAAATGAGAAAATAGACAAGTATGACAATTATTCACCTGCTTTATTGCGCTGTATACCCAATAATGACTTTAAAAACAATTTATATTTTTCACTTGCAAAAATTCAGGCAGTACATAGTATGCAGAAAAAGTCAGCAAGTTAAAAAGGAATAGGAAAACAGGCAATGAATATTAGTATGTAATATAGAAATGAAATATAAAAATTAAAA